AACTATGCTCCAATCATCACCTTCTTCATATATTCCTTCGTCCAATTGAACAGTTCAAAATTCCCTATTGACCTAGTGCTGAGTAGTTTGATTCCATATACTTTTTAGCCAAAATATGTTAATTTCCTTTACGTTGAAAGTGTATCTAAAAGATTGTAAAAAAATTATATTTTTCAATTTTTGTTACAATAATATCTCTTTCTTAAATAGAAAGGTTTGAATTCACTCAAAAATAAAAAATTCGTTTGGTTGATTGTTCTGTAGCGGACTGCTACACCAAATAAGCCTAGATTGTACTCAGTTATCTCTACTATCGATGAGCCTCCCAAACTAGCTGCTATTGCAAAGCAAATGGAGACAACGTGGAGACAACGTATTTATTAAAAAAATAATTAAAAATAAATAGTTGATTGAATGAGCACAAATATACCCATTTTTAAAAATTTTATAATCCATTAAAATAAAATCCAAACTGTCACTTTTCGAGTTTTGGTAAAGTAATATGGAAAATCAGTTATTCAGCTTAAAACTCTTTGAGTCATTACAATTGCCTAATTTCAAATTGATAAAAGACCATTAGCAATACTTCTGAACATTATAAATTTCTAGAAACGTGGTTCAATAAGCTCCGAACTAACTCTTGAATGTAGTTCAAGATAGACTTACCCCCATGTGGTGCACCCTGCACAACGTATTTTCTTACAGCTAAAAAGTCTATCACTCGGCATTTTGACTTCTATTTATTATGATTAGCTTTTAAAAAGGCTATAAGAAAAATCGCCCTCGTCAGGACGAATCACGACGTCTTCAGATCCTCCAGTGGAATGCTGGAGGAATGTCTCCGGACAAAAAGATCCAAGTACAGAAAATCCTACAAACCTATGATGTAGACATTTTCACAATTATGGAGGCTAACATTTCGGATGACAAACTGAAGTACTACCAATTCCCAGGTTACACTCTGTACAATCTACCTAAATACCACCAAGTTGCAAGTGGAATTCTAACTGGAGTTAAAGAAGGCCTCACTTCACACTACGACCTAATCAAGAGTATGGGCTCGACACAAGACAAATGTGAAATAATTAGATTAAATGTTTGGAAATGTCAAAACCACTTTAAGACATATGCAGTCTATAATCCACGCCAGAATTGTCCCAACTTTGACATTCTGAACATCACGCACAAAACCATAGTACTAGGAGACTTCAACGCCCACTCCACCAGATGGGGCTACAAGGATACAAACATAGTTGGAAAGGAAATTGAAGACATGCTAAACAGCAACATTCTGGAACTCATCTATAGCAATGAGGATCCGGCTACATATTTGCACTACAATGGATCCAGAACAACTCCTGATTTACTCTTGGCTTCAAGCGACATCAGTGAGCATACACGCCGCAAAATAATTGACGATCCTGGTTCTGGTCACAAACCAGTCATTGCTAGTATCACCATCGGCAGCAAAAGCATGTCAAGGAAAGTGCCAACTAAGCTATCATGGAACTTCAAGAAGGCTGACTGACCTAGATTCACAAACCTTTTGGAGAATGAACTTCACACAAGTCCCCTCAACTTCAACCAACATCCTGACAAACTTTGCACTGCTATCACGAATATTATGATCAGATGTGCAAAGAAAACTATTCCCCGAGGCNTATCTCGGAATGACGTTTGACACAAAGCTAACGTGGAAAAGTCACATTGCTAAAATAGCAGAACGAGTCTCCAATAGACTGAATGTCCTGAAGCGTCTTGCTGGTAGCGTATGGGGCTGTGCGCGCTCAACTCTAAACACCACTTACAAGATGTTTATTCAGCCAATAATGTTGTATTGCTGTGAGCCACTCATTACAGCCACAGAGGTGACTCTCAAACCACTCGAGAAGGCACACAACCAAGCATTATGACTAATTACTGGAGGGATAAAATCAACACCCATTGATGCAATGCTCCAAGTTACAGGAAACACCACAATAGGCTCCCTTATCAAAGAGAAGGCCTTGATCCTGTATGAGAAACTACTGCGCATTCCCATGGACCAGTTCTTCAGCACCTATGAGAATAGACCAAGACATCTGAAAACGCAATCTGGTCTAATACAGAAAGCCATAGAACTGAAGAAAGCGTTACAAATCGATGATCAACCAAAAAGCCTCTCTCTCCCCATGAACCCATTAACAGACATTGATGTAGTGTGTCGCACCCAACTGCTCGACTTCTTCAGGAAATCAAACACTCCTCCAGAGCAAATGCGCTCACTGGCCCTTGACACTATCAATGTCAACTATCCTGCAGATCAATGGCTCCAAGTCTTCACTGATGGGTCATACATAGAAAGCCAAGCAAACGTTGGTGCAGGTGTCTATTCTGAACTCTTCTCTTTCTACCCAGCAGCGGGACATAATAGATCCGCTTTTGAAGGTGAAATAGAGGCTATTAGGATAGCACTATGCTAATTATGTTGCCAGGACACGAAATTCACCAAAGCGGTGATACTTTCGGACTCACAGTCAGCAATAGACTCTATTGGAAACAGAGAGACACTAAAAACAGCTGAGATAAAAGAATGTAGAAAACTCTATGAGCTACTGAGAGAGAAAAACAAAACAGTGGTCCTACAATGGATTCCTGGTCACTGTGGCATTAAAGGCAATGAGCTTGCTGACACACTTGCTAAGAAGGGGACAACGATTTTGCAATGCATGGACCGGCCGATGTCTTTACACACAATGAAGGCCTTAATCAGAAGAGAGTTCCAGACCTCAAGGTTCAACGAACTCAAAGCTCGAACAAAGGAGAAACAGTGGACAGTGGCATTCACCGACATACCCGACTGGCCAAGAATCGAAGCAGTTGCTGAGTTCAGACTACGTACCGGACACGATTGCTTGGCAAAACACCTTCACAGATTGGGAGTATACACTCAACCCACATGCCCTCTATGTAACCTACATGAGGAAATGGAGAAGACCCACCTGATTCGGTGTCCAGCTCTAAAGACAAGGACGGAAAGCCAAAGATACTGGGAAGCAAGAAGACAGCTAATGAATTGCTAGTAATTAACTGCTATAAATGTACCTCCCCCCCTCTTGGGAGAAGCTGAAGTCAAAGATTAAGGGCAAATGATTAATATCATAAATCCTGCCATTTAAAATAAATAAAAATTCTGCTGCATTTCCAATGGTAAATGAACAGTCAAATGAACGGCAAAATACTCTTAATTATTGTCCATGGATGACTTTTGTGAAAGTGGATGGCCGTTCAAGTAAATTTAAGTGCACACACAACTTGACCACTTCCGAGTGCAAAACCACTTCTGCCCCACCCCTCTCTCTTTAGACGCCCACCTTGTTATAATGCGCAGCATCCTGCTTTGTTGGGGGCACAAAATGAAAAAGATGTGGCAATAAAAAGTGATAAAGGCGAGGAGTATCTAGTTGGTTCGTGCTCGGAAGTTTCAATCTCGTGATATACTCCCTAAATCGAAGTGAACTCATGGAAGGTCTTGTCTTAGTTTTCCATCAATGATTGTGAAGTCAAATTGTCCAATAAGACAGAATTACAGATTTACCTAAATTATAATTAAATTCAGCTCTAAAATAATTTGTAAATTACTGGTGAGTTAGTTAAATGTTTTTTTTCATTCAATGTTAATTGCTGCTCTAAAACATATTTTAATCGATTCGCCCTCTATCATCTTAGTTCACTCATTTCTTCGATCGTTTTCCCTATCTGTGCTTTGTTGTTGGACGTTCTACTGTATCACCAAAACAAATCACGCTGTTCCTCACATTATTAGCAATCGCCAAAACTATTTCTGTTTTGCTTACCCAAATAAACAGATAGAATTATTGTCGGCTTTTTCCGAATCAGAGTAGATTTCAAATGTTTAGTGGTTAGAAACTGCATGACGAAGCAATAAAAAAGTTTTTCGAATCTTTTATATTTATGCATCCCACAAACTGAATCCTTGTACAACTTGGAGCTAATTGTCACCTGCGTGGCAAATTTACATGCTCTTAATTTTTTTGTGTAACAGACAAAAAAATTAACCTCGTATCATAACTTGAACTACAATCAAAAATTAGTTCGGAGCTTATTGTACGACGATTCAAGAAATTTATGATATACAGAAGAATTGCTAGTGGTCTTTTATCAATTTGAAAGTGTGCAATTGTAATGGCTCTTTAAAGAGGTATTCTGGTCTAGAGACGAGAATTTTAGATATTTTTGAATTTCTGTAAAAAGCAAGCAATATTTTTATTCCTAATTTTTCTATACATTATTTATTTACATTAGAAGCATACAAAACAAATAAAAAAGTAAAAAATTCCAAATTCCGTTAAATATCACTGATGGAGTGGGGCGTCTCAAAAATTTGGTCCGCGACCATACCCACGATTTTAACTCTCCATGAAATCTGAAATCAAAAATAGAAAAAAATAATCAATTTAGAATAAAGTCGCCATATCTGGAACTGGGGAAAAGTTGCAAAAATTTTTTGACAAAATGGCGACTGCCTAAAGAAAAAAGTGTTTGTACCACTTTTGAAAATTCTTCGAATTTTTAAAATAGTAAAATACAAATTTGGGGATGGTCGTAGTTCCGAACGTAGACAAGTCCCTAAAAATTTACTCTCTTAAAATTTCAAGTAAAACTGCTTGGCAGAAACTGAGAAATCTTGGGTATCAGATTCAAAAAGACAGTTATGAGAAAACCGGGTTTAAAGTTTCAAGTAGAATTTTTGAAGTCTAAGTCTAAGTCATAAAATTATATTTTTAACTTAAATTTATACAATCAGCCATTTCTACTGCATACATCGGACCTTCCTTGACTGCTAAAAACTATTTTCGGCGTTTCTGTTTTCTATTCGAGCAGTTCTGGCCTACTTTGCTGTGCTGGATGCTCGTATCTCGGAGCGGTCAATCAGGACGTTCTCTCGTCTGATAGCAAATGCATGCGCTTCTGGACCAATTTTCTCCCCCATAATCGCCATCATCTTCAATATCGGTATAAAGCTTTCATCAAAAATGCACACAGCAAAAAATGCTACAATTTCAATGAAGATTGATTAATTAATCAAATAGATTCCGGAATCTAGTAAAGTTTATCTCAACATTCATCACCTTCATGTCACGGAGCAGATGAAACCAAAAGTGTAGGGTATTCTAGACCAGAAAACCCCCTTAGGAGTTTTAGCAGATTAACTGGTTTTCAAAATTACTTTACCAAAACTTGAATAGTAGCAGTTTAGCCTCTATTTAAAGGATTATAAAAGCATTAAAGATGGAAAATTTGTGCTCACCAAGTCAATTATTTATTTGTTTGAATTATTTTAATAAATTCCTCCATGAGGTCTCAATTTGCGGTTTAATAAATAAACAAACATTACGAATTTCATTTTGGAGTGAATTCAAGCGTTTTCATTTAAGAAAGAGATAATATTGTAACAAAAATTAAGGAAAATACCATTTTTACAATCTTTGAGACAGACTTTTCAATGAAAAGGAAAGTTATATATTTTGGCTAAAAAGAATATGGAATCAAACTACCCAGCACTAGGTCATTATGGAATTTTGAGCTGTTCAATTGGGCGAAGGAATATATGAAGAAGGTGATGATTGGAGCATAGTTTGCTTCTATCCCATTTCATGCTTTTATATGTTCCAGCCCTTCTATTCCCCTCTAGCCTTTGCGATTCTATTTGGACAATATTATTATATTCAATTATGGTAAATCTCTTTCTATCTGTATCACTCAAAATGTGGAATGCCCATGTGAATAGGATTTCGCATTTAGCCATGATTTTGTTTATTTTTCTTACTTATTTGAGACCGAAAAAACTGCGCGTTTAAGTTCATATTCCTTTATGCCACAGCTCTTATATTTGCGCACAACATTTTTATTTGAAATAAATGAACGCGTGTATTTGTTCCAATTTTGAATTTGATTCAGCAAAATAATTTATCTTTCACAGTTTTGACTCACTTGTAGATTTGGTAACAATAAATTGATTTTTCGGAAGTATCCATTCTTTACTGCATGTAGTGTATTTCTCCCCAAACGAAATCGATTTATCAATTTTCCCTTCTATGTAGTATAAACATGTTATTAGCATGTAGGTACAATTGTGACATACTAATCGCAAAACTACCGACTTCCAATTCTCATCCAATTTCAATTTCACATAACATTATAGCCTCCAATTTATCATTTGTGATTTAATTTCGTAAAACGGAGAAAGCATAGCACTTGACATTCATTACCTGTTCTCCATTAGTAACCCTTGAATTTTCTTAAGGTATTGTCAAACTATCGATTGTTATGATCCATAATCCGCCTATATAAGTGGTAAGAACCAATTGATATTAAAAGAACGTTTTCACAAGTGAGCCTGGGCTAAAAATTAAAGGGTATTAGACAAAGGTGGAAGTGGCGGGTGACGGGGAAATACGTCTTCAAAATTTTGAAACAACTTCCAATGGAATTAAATTATGTATATCACTAATTTGTCTACATTCT